CTCAGGATCTGTGCTCGCAGGTGCGACTCAGGATCTGTGAAGAAGGAGACTGGTGTCTACCATAGACTACATAGAAAACATTTTTACACTGACTCTGATGTCCCTGTAAGGGGTCAGGACAGTTCAGGTGTTGGTTCTGGCTGGATCAGATCCCTCTTGGTCATGCCAAACCCCTAGCAGTCTAGTGACCTTTCTGACGGGTGGCCCACTGCCCCATCGCTTAAGATGGAGGCAGCTTAGGGCCTGTGGCTGGTGACCTGTGGCCGATCGTGTCGGTGAGGTGAGCTGTGGCTCGGGGGCTCGGGGCTGGGCAGACAGTCATCGGGCTCCACCCACTGTACCCATAGAGTCCAGTAGAGGGCGGAGCCTGTGTGAGATAGAATGAAGGTTACGATATGATAACCCTAGTTCTATTAGCACAGGCGGAGCCCTCTACGATGGAGCCCTGCCGCTCCACCACCGTCTGCTGAAGGGTTGGTTGGATGCTGAGCAGTGAGGACAAGGCTATTTATACGGTACGCACGTACAGTAGCGACATCCAATTGGTCGGCTACTTACAGTATGCAAAATTTCAGTGGGCGAGTGATAGGAGGAGAGGTAGTACCCATAGAGTCCAGTAGAGGGCTCCGCCTGTGCTAATAAAACTAGGGTTACCATATCGTAACCTTCGTTACGCCTTTACGTCGGTACAATGTGACTATTCAAACGCCGAGTCCGAACGAAAACAGACTGATGCATATGGAAAGTGCGAGTTTGAAGAGGATATTTGAAAAGCTGGAGAGACCATGGACAAGAAGTCGGATAAGATGGAGGCTGACATCAATGAGCTCAAAGAGGCAAAAGAGGAGCCTGCTTCAAAGAAATTAAAGACCGCTGGGAACAATTCTGTTGCGGTAAGTTATTTTCTGACTGTCACAAACATTCGGCTGTGTCCACATAACTTTGTATGCTTTATTTATTAATGTATTTGAATTGAGCCCTCATACTATGTTGGATTTTTACAGGAAGCCGTACAGAGATTGCACAATGGGGGAAACAACATACACAAATATGACCCACAGAGAAGGTATATCTTTAAAACTATTGTTTCATAACAGCCCTTTCTTCTAAATTATATTTTTAATCAACCTTCTTTAATTACTGCTCCACAGTCTATCCTCCCCAAAACCTCGAGGTCACAACCTATCTTTTTAATGGCGTCTCCATGGCTGTACCGGACGTAGATCCTGCTGTTGTTAAAGGTAAGTCACAAGAGAATGTCCCAAGGCTACAACTATTTAACTGTATAGATTAGTTAGTTATAAATAAACACATTCTCCCCCCTCACTATCTCCCTCTCTCTCTAGCATCCTGCAAGACGTATTTTGAAACTGTTAGAAGGGGTTACAGGATGGCCCAAGATGAGAACAAAGACAAGATGGAGGACAGCAGGATCATTCCGTGCATGAGACACAGAAAGAGAAGAGTAAGTATAAATAAATATAAATCTCTAATAATAGTATAGTGTATTCTGTGCTAATATATTTTGATTTATAGAATTTTGACTGTGTGTGTGTAAATATATGTCATGTGCCCAGTGTCATTTACAAATAAAAAAAATAACAAACTCAACTTTGTCTATCTGATTACCTTTACATTATAACCATGAACACCAATGATAATAAATATTAATAATGAGTAATAATAAACCCAAATGAGGCCATACAGTGGACCAATAGTGTGGGGGGTTAGAGGAGGGACAAGGCATTGAGCAACCAATCTAATGCAAGACCTCTGACCAATTGATGGAGGCCACTGCCTTGTGGCCCAAAGTTGTGAAATGCTAATATTCCCTTGCAATGACCCCCACCCGGGGATTATTCACTATGGTAACTGATGGCTCTTAGTGGCTCCCTGCTGTGCCCCAAACTTGGTACATATCCAGGAGTATTCGGGATTGTGTGATGGGACAGCAAACTCAGCAAACGTTTATCTGTGGAGTACACAGGAGTGCTCAGGAGTTTTACATTACAGCTCTTTTCGCGCAGTGGTTGAGGCAGAGCAGCTGGGGAAAATCAGAGAAAACCAGGCAGGCCCGGCGCCACGAGGGGGCAAGAGGAGGCTTTGCCCCCTCAGTTATATTTTCTGCCCCAGCAGGCAAAAAATTTTCTCTATAGAGAATGCAGTCATTTTCGCGCTATTCATTTCTCACGTTAAATCCACATTCTGTGTTGCTACTGGCAACACCTTTAGTCTACTACTAAACAGGCATGCAGACTCACTCATCGCAGTGAGTGAAGGACAGGCCGATGGTGGGGAGGTTAGGAGTGAGTGATGTGTCTTGGATTCATTCATCATCTGACAGCGATCCACTTGTACAGAGTAAACATGCACAAACGCTGTATTCAGCCCTAAATTATGGCTTGAAATTATTCTGAGATGTAAAACATATGCCAATAGGCCTAACATGAAAAGTGGTATGGCTATAAACATGTAGCCTATGAAATAGACTTAGTGCAAAGTCGTCTTTCCCTGCTAGGCTACAGGGGTGTTTTGTGGTCGCTTGAAAAGAGCGTGTGGCTCCCTCCTGTGTTTTTTTTATCTGTGAAGAATAGTTTTACACCGCCATGTAGGCTATTGTTCAGCAAGAAAACATTTTTTCCCGTTGGGTAAAAATCTACTTTGAATTTTGGAATTGATTAGAATTGTTTCTCTCCAATAAATACTTTTGTTTGGACTTTTAAACTGTTGTATGTGTAACTACTGGTCTGCATGCTCGATGGAGTCTGTAAAAAGAAGCAGAACAGTAGTCTGCAACATTATTATTATTATTATAGCACCTATGAAAACAACAATAGTCAGTCATTTTTCTAAATTATGCTACATAAAATTCAGCTGTGTTTAGAATATTGGGTAAGGTAGGTAATCGCATCTATAGTGAAAACACCGACATTTTGCCACCACAGGATGAAAACAAATACAGAAACTGACATAGCAGCCTGATAACCTACGGTCTTGCTCCCGGAGCAAAGGGATTGACCTTTTTGCATTGACGGAAAAAAAAAACAGGTCTAAAGTCAATGGCACAGTATTTCACTGTGCCATTTTACAGCGTAACTTCATTGATTATTAAAATCTCCTGACATGCTGGCAGGATTGGTCAGGATGTTAATTGATGTTCTGTGTTCTTCTACACATCCAAAAGGTCTCACACACAGTCCAAGTTCATACAGTGAAACTGTTTGGAGTAAAGCAGCCGTCCTCCTGGTCAATCCTGAGCTCCATCAGAGCGTCTAAATGATTTCAGAAGATAAAAGTTGAATTCGGTTTCCTCTGTCCTGTCATGTCAACTTTATAACTACAGTTTTTTTTTTGTTCTGCTGCTCAAATAGGCTACCCCGCGACATTTGTTGTGACTTTATTGCGCAAATAACGTTTAAAATGACTGACAGCAGCCTCTCTAATTATGAAAGTAAATAATTTAAAAACACTCATAAATCAATAAAGCACAAAATAAAGAAACCAATGTAAGGGAGAGATGTGACCCTTGACCGGTTCATCATTTTATATTAACGCAGCACAGTGATGATCCAGACGTTAGAGGAGACAGCGTCTGTATGTTAACAGACTGGAGTTCCGACTCTTCACTGATAAACTACAGAGCTGCAGAGTAACATAGGCTTCATGATCAGAGATGGTTTTTATATCACGTCCACACTTCTCTCTATATCCTCTGCTGCGAGTCTGCAATTCAGTCAATTGGTGTTTTTCATAATGTGGCATTCAATACGCTATTATAATAGCAATGCGCCAAAGTACAAGTTCACCTGCTTTAAAAGGGAATGGGAAATGACACCGATTGCCGTATTGCATGTTATGCTCTACACACCCAAGTGCAACCCTTTTGAACCATGCACCCGGCGCATAGACCATGTGCTTCATGGCATGCGCTTACATCATTAAAATTGGGGCCTGTGTATTGATATGGATATATTGCTCTCCACACACACAGAGATTTGCCCCCTCAGTCACTTCATCCTGGCACCAGGCCTGAAACCAGGAAATATTTCCCATCAAATATGATCCAGTTTCAGCAAAATCAGTGAGTAAAGTTGTGCTTTTGTGCAGTAATCAGTGGTATTTTTAGTCATTAATGGACCAGAGCCTGCCATTTGAGACATACATGCCCAGTGCAAGGCATATCATAATTGAACCAATTCCTCTGGTCGTGCGCCACAGAAAAAAACCCATCTAAATCACATTTACACTTGAGGCTCCAAAGGCAGCAATGCAGCTACAGAGCACACATTTACTGCTTAGCTGTATGTCAAGCCTTAAGGGGTCAATTTCCAAACATATGTAAAAATTTAAATGACCACTAGCTACAAAGGGTTCATAAATGCATGCCAGAACTGCTGTCACTCTGTCTTACTGTTTGCATACATTGTTATATAGATTTGGACATAGTAATTGTTTTTCCCTTTGTCCAGCTTGTTGTCCTTGTTTAGCTGTATGTCTGTTTCTTCTTAAGTACATTGCATGTGTTGAATTCTGAGAACGTAAGTCAGTCTTTCATTTCGTGCAGTCTCTTCAATAAAGTCCAACCACTAATAAAACGTAAGAGATTGGTCCTCGTACTGCATTTTCCCTTGTCATGTTACCTTAATATAACACCACATGTCTTAGGCCATTCACAGCCCAATAACACTGTCAGCTCTAGACCCATATCTCATCCAAGTACTTTTCAATTTTGGAGCATGTAGTTTTGGTGTTGAAGTACTGCATTATTCTGAGGCGTTTCTGTTGATCCTCTATGGATATTTGCATTCTCATTTCCCCTCTCCTTATCTACAATATACAGTGTAGAGATTCCTCTGCTCAAACCTTGATCAAAAGGCTGAAGATCACTCTACCAACAGTATCCTTGTATGAATAGTGTCACCATTTCACAAGAGAAATGTGGTTTAAGTCATTTACAGACTTGTAAGTCTACATATTAACAAAAACCACAAGACCTGGTGTACGTGTTAAAAACATGGTATATTTATTCTTCCCCCTTATCTTCATAAGTCTTCTGCAGCACCCTCATGGTGCCTAGAAGAAAAGAATTGATTAGACTTTTAAAAACACTGAGCTGATAGCACATTGGCATAGTTTACAGACTCACCTTTCCATCAAAGCACCGTTGTTCACATGGCCTATCTGCTGCTAAACACACTTCTGTAAAGCACATGAAATAGATCTTGGGGGGGGGGGGGGGATAAAAAAAATAGACATTCACCATGTCAGAAAAATAAGTTTCTACATCCCATAACTGTTACGGTACAGTTGCCTCTAAAGTACAAAATCTCAAGTGAAGACAATTCAATTGGAGCAGACACTTCACACTTGAAAGCTAGACAAGGTGTAGTACACATGATTTTGTAAATTTCATTTCTTCGCAATCATGATAGCGGAATAGAATACATTACTGTTCCATTTTAAAACAGACTCCTTAATGAACAAGTCACCACAATATTGTGTCAGGGCTCTTCTCAGTCTGCACCGGTTGTACACAGCACAGCTTTGACCATTTAGGCCCATAATGGCTTCCTGATTACCCACTTCTTCATCAATGTATTTGTCTTTTGAACCATAAACTGGAAGGCTTCAACCACGAACCGCCTCTGGTGACGATTTTTGCATTCAATGATTTTAAGGATGGACACATTTGGAAAAACAAATATGACTCGTGGTTAGGCGGACAGGTCGAGGAGGGTGTGTTTTAATACACATGGAGTTCAGTCATGGTTACCCTTCATAAATAAGATCCAGGCAGTGCCGGTGTTGCAGGCCCTGGGGGGGGGGGGATCCAGGCAGTGCCGGTGTTGCAGGCCCTGGGGGGGGGGGATCCAGGCAGCGGCGGGAGTTGGGGCGATCAAGGCAGGGCCGGTGTTGCAGGCTGTTGCGGACATGCAGGCCGTTGTGGCAGCGCTGGGATGAAGTCAATGCGCTTTAATGTGGGATTGGATTGGCCACTGGAGCGAGGAAACGCGCCTGGGTCAAACTTCTCTCACAAGTTGCTACCGCATCTTGTGTCTTATCAAACTTGTTGACGTACAACAACTGCAGGCTGTAGCAGTCACTCTTTAAAAGTGTGTGTAGTCTTGAACTGAGTTAATTTCTCTAAGCTCTTTGTGAAATACTACAAAGACTAGAGCCAGGGCAATTACTTTACAGTACATTTACAGAAACCTACCCATTTCACATAGCACCCGATGAAGGGTACAGCCAAGACAAAGGGTTCACTTCATAACCACAAGAGTCTGGAGCATCCATGACAGCCAGCAGATCCTTTGAGCCTGATGAACAAAGTGAAAGCCTAGTAAGTTTACAACATGCATTCAGCAAAAAAGACTTGCGTTTAAATAAGCAGAAAAGTCAAGTACATACCCACAACTTTAACTTCACTTAATGAACCCGTCAGAGTAATTTGGAAGCCAACGTCACTGCAGACTACATCTAGCCCAGTCCGACGCTGACTGGTACTGCTGGTCTGGCTCTTTGAAGGGATCTTCAAATTCCATCTGGAAACCACTATCAGTACCTCTGCGCCATGTTCTTTAACTAGAATCTACTGCGTCAATCTGGTCTCCATGGTTAGCAAAGTTGTACAAGTTTCCACTGGTGGTGGCGCCTTCAACTTGAAGTAGTGAATCCTCAACTGCATCTTCACCGCTGTCGTCTGGAGGGGAGAGGAGGTATTTGTTACCAATGTCACAGATTGCAGTCAAAAAGAATTCAGCCATTTCCTGTCAAATCAATGTAGACAGCCCAGCCAAATAGTTTCTTCCAGTCTTTATGAATAAGCAGTTGCTAGAGTGGACTGAAACACAAACATCTCAGGTCATCTATGCTTGATATCACACATTTGAGCCAAGTTCAAAACAGGCAGTAGAGCAGACTATAACATTACAGGACAATAGTAAATGTTAATATTTAAACGAAGATCATTGTAGGAGCCAATTTGATAGTTTATATTTATTTGTTTGCAAATTTGCATAGCGAGATATTTTTGCATGATTTGCTAATGCCCTTGCAGGTCCAAAAGGCATAAGCGAGTGTGCTGCAGCCTAGCAGCGCAGCTGACCCGGGGCGGCTTGTTCATTAGGGCGACGCACCGCCAAGCCGGGAAAGGCAAGAGATTTTCCACACTTTCCACCACACTGTTAGTTAGCTGTGACTGTTTGTCTCTGAATATCGCTGTCCAATCAGCATCAAGTCGTGTTCTGTGGGTGCTATTTCAGTCTGGTTGCAGAGCGCTCTCAGACTTTGATGTAAAGGTAGTCCCCCCCCCTGCAGTCCTCCAGCTTGTTGCTCTCACTACGAGCAGCTGCTGTTTTAAAACGCATGTTCAGGCTGAAAATTTGACTGTGGTGTTATGTCGGGAGATGCAGCGACTGTCAGCGGTGAGTAAGATACAGTATAAATACTACATGTAATTTGTTAAGCTATGAGGAGAGGAAAAGTCCGCTAGCCACTAGGATAATTTATGCTCCGTAAAATGCCATAGGCTAAGCTAATCTTGATAGTTAGCATAGCATGATGTGGTCACCACCGGCATCTTGTCAGGGGTGAGTAAAAAGTAGTTGTAGTAGGAAAGAAACAGAAAATAAACCAAAAAGAGAGAATATACCTTTTATATTTCCCCTTACACACCTTGATGTTTGTAAATACAGAGTGAGAATGGGAGAACAGCACATAGCTCGTTACTGCGTGATTATAGAGTACAGGATCAATGGATACTTTAATACAGCCCACACCCCTAATAATACTGTGTATCTACAGGATAAGTGGATTTTTTAACAACTCTGCTTACCTTATTAGTCTTGTGTAATGTGTGCAACTTAAAGAATGAAAATAAATACTGTGCTCCTCTGTACCCCATTAAACATTTAAGATTAGTTATGTTTGATCCACCTTCATATACACAGCATGTGACATTACTACATAACTGTAGCCTATTACTTGAGACGGGTCCCTTAGCTGCAACGCAAGATTAACTAAATAATTTCATTGCACATCAGCCCAGTGCCTGTGCTATATTCTTCCTAAGTGTCACAGTTAAGTCAGATGATTGTGAGAGTCATTCCCCCCCCCCCATTATTGCTAAAGTAGTTGCCTTTACATCCAGAGGTCTAAAGATCTATTGATCTTAACTGTGGACTGTTCATTCATTGTAGATATTGACAATGAACTTCAGGATGTAGCTGTTCACAAATACTGTACAGTACGTAGCCTAATCCTTGTCTTATAGCAGACCAAGACCATTGAACTGGTCACCTTAGCAATCATCGCAACAATTGTCCCCCCCGAGAGATTTGGCAAGAAGGAGCATGCAGTCTTTAGACTGTGTGGATTGTATCGTTACTTTTAATACCTCAGTTAGCGTTTAGTTCATGCAATCATTTTCTTTCAACCTCTGTAAGCAAGGAGTAAATAAACATTCATACATATGTTGGAACACACCATCTGAACATTGTATTTCTTTGGTCATGTATTTCTACAAGCAAGCGTCTTAAGTCTCAGTCTGAGAGTGATTCACACAAAAGGAAAAAGAGAGTGGTCACTACAATCATAAAGTCTGTGACTTAATTCTGTAACTGACAGTTACAAAGTGATGTCTGCATTACTGTCCCTCATAAATGACATAATGGCCCAGCTGTAAAAACAGGCCCAGATTTGTTAATATGGTGGAGTTCTTAATGCAGTAATACAGTTTATGTGAAAGAAGAGGTTTGCAAGAACCTGCTTTCAGTGACCACACGCTCATTGTCAGTGCTGGGTCATTGGTGGTTGTTTACCTGGCAAGTTAACACTTCGTGGATCAGACTCTCAAACATTAGTACGTTGAATTTTCTTGATCCGCGCCCATCCCTCTACTGAAACCAGCAGAATCGCAGTCAGGACCACCAGCAGCTCAACGCTGACGCCAGCCATGAATCAATGCGAAGGCTCTCCTGTAGCTGCTGAACACCCAGACAAAGATGTAGCCTCTTGAAATGGAGCAGGTGGTGGTTTGAAGTTAATTGAGTGCACCTGGTGTCTACTGATTGGCACTCACCACTCAACTGAAGTCGCAGGTTTGGGAATGAAAACCACCTGTTTACTAAAGGAAAGGCCTACTTCATGTTTCTAAGATGTTACAGTTCTTTCTCTAAAATAAATCAATTGACCAACATTTAATTATGTAAATGTATGTATGTAATTATCTTACAAGTTACAGGCACACAGTCTGTGCAAATACTTTATTTGAAGTACAACTGTAATTTATCTTTCAGACATACATTTTGAATAATGCAAGCATGTTCAGTTATTTTATTTTTCTAAATAACACCTTGGATATTGCTTGTTCAATATAATACACATTTAATCAACACAGGGTTTTCCTTTGGGTGCTGCATTATATTTGGAGGCGTCTCTAATATTGCCATTGTCTTCCTCATGTACAGTATGTGCATGTCATTGTTTAAAAAATCATTAAAATAGATTAAATGCAATATGAAACCATCTACTCTCCATCTCAAAAGTAGAATCAACAGCTCAGCGTAAAAAACATATTACAAGCATCACACAAATACATTTTATCACAAAGATGTTGAATAGATTACACTTTACAGTTATACCTAATAAAGGCTGTCATTAACATTTAAATGATTAATTTCACTGACTGAATTATTAATTAAACTCAGCTGGCTTTCATTTCAATCTCCAAAAGAAAAACGGCTATGTTCAAATGTATTTCACAGAGCATTGCTGGACTTTTATGTTTTAAAGTTCTTCAATGATGATGGATCAGAAATCACACCTTTCAGCTTCTTTAACTAGAAAAAAAATAAATAAAATAAGAGAAATTTCTCAGGGTGGCAAGAGTTTATTGCATATATTTCAGTACAAGAACACAAACACCCATATAGTCTACTACTGCACCACAAGTCAAATAAGCAGACTATTCAATAGTCTTTATCATTTAAAACAATGTCCTTTCTTGGAATCTTATTCTCTAGAGCTAAAAGAAGAACCTGGGTGTTTTAGTAGTGAAGTAGAAATTCAATTGTAGGCGTTGGCCTTATGTTTGGGCAAAAAGTTGAAATACTTTGGTACAGGTCCAAGTAGCATTTCACTTGAGGGACAAAGTGAGAGGTTATAACAAACTAACAATACATTTGAGTGTTGTTTAATTTTGAATGATACTTCTGCTCACCTAATCCTGACCCAGTCCCCAACATTTTAACTGGCCATCAGTGACGCCAGGTAGTTTCTTCTGAGGCACTCTCTCTAACAGACCCACTGGAATATATGAGGGACAAGGGTGGAGGAGGAAGAGAAACATCTTTATTTCCTCTCCAGTTCACTTTTCATTACATTTTCAATATGAAAGCCAGATAATGTTTGACAAGTTCTTTACTTAATTTCTTTTGACCTAATTCACTGAGTGGTTCTGTGACAGAAGAGCATCCCATGTTCCCCAACAGGGATGTCAGATCAGATTTAAGTTTAAAACAGTCACCATATATTCCTGTTCAAGCAGTAGATGGGTACTCTGAACCCAGGCTATAAGTATGGCAGGTTTATATTTTAAGTCCCATCTTGCAGCCATTTGGCTAGTATATGTAATGACTTAATATAACTTTGTTCTTTATTAATAGCAAACACACTTATGAAAAAGTATCAGATATCCCCCACAGACTCAACACTGTTTAGTGAGAGGACTTACAACACCATGACTAACAGCAGGCCTGCTATTAAAATACTGTTACCAATATAAACATACTGAGGCTGTTTCAGTATTAAACAGTAATGAATAAGGCTTCTTCATAGAAGAAATACAATATACTGAAGTGCATGTCGTTGCCTAGCTGTGCATGAAGGAGAGCCACTACAGCATAAAGTTGCAGGTCTTCTCCACGTGTTGGGTGTCTGAGCCCCAGTGCTCAGGGCCAAAGTTGCGGAAATCCCTGAGTGTCCAGTCGCTCACTGCACAGCAAACAGAAGAGTTCAATTTTTGGTGTTTTAGCAGCCAGTGTTGGGCAAGTTCTTAGAAACTGCAATAAGTTAATTGTTAAAAAAACAAAAAAACAGTATTACCCTACTTATTACTGGGTGATAAAAGTAACAAGTTCCGTTAAAGTAATACTTTAACTACCACCCCTCCTCCCCCCAAACAAAGCAGTCTCTCCCACTTTTTAAATCCCGTTCATAACAGCAGCAAGGAATGAAGTTACGGTTTTGACAAAACGTCTTAATGCCAACGGCTGAAGTAATAAGTAAATCACAACCGTGAACCTTTTCCTGCACATTTATAGAAGTAGGCCCTTCAGTATTTTTACAACACATACATTGCTTAACGCTACTCTTTCCTGACAAGTCCAAGCATCACTGGCAGCAGCGGCCAGAGTTTCTCCCTTTCTGGTGCTGCTGACCTGCCGTGCATTCACGTCAAGGATGGTGCGTCCAGTAACACAACATGTTTTGATTAGTAGGCCCAACTAATCAATTACCATTTTGGAAATGGTAATTGTTACACTAGTTACTGGAAAAAGTAATATTGCCCAACACTGATAACGGGGAGAGTTACCAGTTGATAAGGAGTTTGTTTCAAACCTGGAAAACAAAGTTTCAGTAAATCAAACCTAGAAGGGAAATGGTCTGATCCTTGCTTTTACACTTTGAGAGTCTTCCTAAAGCACTCCTCTGACTGTTGGAAAACTAGGTCTGCTTTTGACCTGGGTCTAAACTTTAACCCTGTTTAAGTAAATGAAGTATTATCTTTTAATGTCAAATTTTATGTTGCTCTACTGGCACACGGTCATTTCACAATGGTGAGCCATCACTACCATGACTTAAACTCATGTCGCCACTCTGTTACTAGCCACCCTAACAATTAATGTAATCAAATTCTTTGGAGGTGCCAGTGCCTGCCATCTCTATAGTTTCAAAACACCAAACGTGACCATCTTTCTTTCGCAAATGGGGCATGTTTGACCAGGAAGGGGGGAAATTGAATGAAAGCCAAACTACGTCACCTAGGGAATTGCATCCCAGGAAATATTTAAATCTTGATTTGAAAGAATAGAGAAGAGGCACACAGGAATGTTACTGATTAGGCAGAGGCATGTTTCAAAATATACCTAAATTTTAAGAAGCAAGAACTGGGACTGCTGAAAAGGAAACACGAAACAGCAATAAGGACTATGAAAACAGTAAGTAAGAATTTATTACAATTATTTTATACAAGAACTTTAAATCCAGCTCTCCAAAAAACAAACTAAGCAAGGGTCACTTACGGAGAGGCAGACTACACAGTACTACCCAGGAGTGCTACCACTACCTACCTTAAGTGCAGCACTACAAACATCACAGCATTACTCACAGCAAAAATGGTGCAGTGCATTTTGTGCATTTTGTGTTACTTACATGCAGACAAGTGAAGGGAACTTGCCACGGGGTACCTAGACTCCCAACAAGATGGCACCCCGCTCAAAATGTTAACACACAAAGAATCACAAACAAGTTAACATAAAGTAACCTAGTTGGCTGGACAAACTATCACAAACCCTCAAGAATTTACAGCTAAAGCAAAACTAGACACAAGTTACAGACAAGAGAATTAAAAAAAAAAAAAGCAGAACTAAAGTAAGGAGTAACCTGGAAAAGCGAAGAAAACAGTTAGCCAGTTAGATGTGCATGAAAGTATTCCTTTCACATACCTGGACAACAAACCAACCACAACCACAGAAGGGGATAGATCAGGAAACAGAAAGAGAGCAAGGGAACACAGGTGTCTTATACACTCACCTAAAGGATTATTAGGAACACCTGTTCAATTTCTCATTAATGCAATTATCTAATCAACCAATCACATGGCAGTTGCTTCAATGCATTTAGGGGTGTGGTCCTGGTCAAGACAATCTCCTGAACTCCAAACTGAATGTCAGAATGGGAAAGAAAGGTCATTTAAGCAATTTTGAGCGTGGCATGGTTGTTGGTGCCAGACGGGCCGGTCTGAGTATTTCACAATCTGCTCAGTTACTGGGAATTTCACGCACAACCATTTCTAGGGTTTACAAAGAATGGTGTGAAAAGGGAAAAACATCCAGTATGCGGCAGTCCTGTGGGCGAAAATGCCTCGTTGATGCTAGAGGTCAGAGGAGAATGGGCCGACTGATTCAAGCTGATAGAAGAGCAACTTTGACTGAAATAACCACTCGTTACAACCGAGGTATGCAGCAAAGCATTTGTGAAGCCACAACAAGCACAACCTTGAGGCGGATGGGCTACAACAGCAGAAGACCCCACCGGGTACCACTCATCTCCACTACAAATAGGAAAAAGAGGCTACAATTTGCAAGAGCTCACCAAAATTGGACAGTTGAAGACTGGAAAAATGTTGCCTGGTCTGATGAGTCTCGATTTCTGGTGAGACATTCAGATGGTAGAGTCAGAATTTGGCGTAAACAGAATGAGAACATGGATCCATCATGCCTTGTTACCACTGTGCAGGCTGGTGGTGGTGGTGTAATGGTGTGGGGGATGTTTTCTTGGCACACTTTAGGCCCCTTAGTGCCAATTGGGCATCGTTTAAATGCCACGGCCTACCTGAGCATTGTTTCTGACCATGTCCATCCCTTTATGGCCACCAAAAATAGTTAAATTAACACTCTTTGGTGTGGACCCATATAGACACTTTAAAAGTGTTAAAATCAACATGAATTAACATTAGATTTTGACCAATCCTGTCGGCTGTCCTGAGATTAATTTATGGTGCTGTTGCTCCTGCGTAAATGCGCACAGCGTCTCTGGAGAGGTGCTTCATCCAGCCGCTATTCAGTGTTAATTTTTACAATCCAGCAATAACAACATCAGTGATATCAAAGTGAAATTACTTTAAATGGCTTTGTAAATGCTAATCTTTTTCGGGACTGGCAGCTCAAGATTGCCCCCGTTCCCCTGCCTCCCTCATTAGTATTCAGGAAATGTAATTAGGCTGAAAATGCTTTAGAACTATTTTATTGGGATTGATCTGATGAAGGGTTTATGCTATTTCTGCAGACACGGCTTTGTACATTGTGTACACAGATGTGTGTATTGATGTCTCTCCATGCAACGATCAAAATCACTCAATCACAGTGTACCTCTACATTGTATCAATCTACAACAAAGCAGTTTTCATCTGGGTGTCCTCTGGTGTCTTCATAACAAAGGAGAAATACTGTTTAGGATTATGCACATTTATTTAGTGTAAAATGAACTCAAACAACACAAAACCTACAAAATAAACAATGTAAAACAATAAATTTATAAACAAAAAAGAATTACAATACAATAATTATACACTCACAAATGGTCACTTCAGAGATATAACTTTGCTTAAATCTCTACCACTGTACACATTGGAATGACCACAGATACTCTCTCCCTAGTGTAACTTCACTGCACAGTTGTGGTACTGAGAACGCATCTGCTTGTAATGTGCTCAACAGGGAGGGATGATGAGGCAGTGTTAGACTCTATCCCCTGGATACCCCAAATTTCCACAGGCTTTCCAAATTAATGCCTGTCTGGGTGAGGGTGCAGCCACATTATTTTTGCCGCTACATGCTGAATAATGGAAGTTTGTGTTTTCACAGAAATTACAAGGAATTGTTTCACTATTCCAGGATGCACCTCTGCAGTAGGATCAAGGACAGGCTCTTCAAAACTTGAATTGTAAACGCACCACTTTGCAGACACACATGCAGACCTTTCAGCCCTGCCTCTTACACAAAAAGTCACCCCAAGGCTTCTTACTCTACAGCATGCCTTTGCTAATTGACCAACCTTTGAGACAGAGCTGTTAGGATATACATTTGTGTACACTGACAACAAAGCTTGTCTCTCTGAATCTGTTAATACTACATTCTTAACGTAGGGTAATGCTTTAACAATCGCCACATCTGGAAAAACAAGTGTTGCGGATGACATAAATGAATACTGTTTTATGTACATTACATCAGTGGCTCAGACTAAAGGTATCTGCAGCCCTCGGCTCCCCCGTCCAACCTCACAATCCAAGAAAGGAAGGCTGTGACATCACTGGCTTCAAGGATCAAAACATCACTATCCTACCTGCTGACAAAGGAAGATGCACGGTGGTCCTTAACACAGCGGATTACCAGAACAAGGTCAATACACTACTAATGGACACAAACACATATGAGACACTGAGGCAAGATCCAACCAGCGGATACAAGAAAAAGGCCATAGAACAGAGGTGGCCAACCAGTCAGAGACTAGAGACACATTTTTTACCGCAAAGAGCCACATACACATGGGCACACATGGACATCCCCCTTCCTCTCTCACACACACACAGACCTCTGCTCAGCCAGATTTATTGTAAATGTCACACACCAACATGATAATGACAGAAATTGACTCCTACAGTACTAACACCAAAGGCCAGTCATTTTCAACAATGAACATTGTGTGCACTGTCTCACACACAAAAACTCTCAGTTCAACCAAGTCCACCAACAAAAATATAATAATTTACAATACGATGTTTCTTTTACTATGCATTTTGCTTAGTAGGACTTCTGGCATTCCTTGCCTTGAACAATCCTCTTCAAATCTGGCTTGTATTCCGTTGTTGCCACTCGAAGCAATTCTTTCACATGGGTGTCAGTCAGAACAGATTGATGCTTTGATTTCACGTGTTTCAGGATAGAAAACACAGACTCGCAGACGTATGTTGACCCAAACATTGACAGTATCTTAAGCGCAGCCCGTTTGACATTGGGGTATTTTTCCATTGGCACACTTTTCCAGAACTCAATGGTCCCTTCCCTTAAAGCAGGTTTCAGTGTGTCCTCCTCACGAAGATCGATCATCTCCAACTCAGCTGCAGCCTCATCTGTGACTAGCGGGGCTTTCAAACAGTCCGTCTCCGCATTAAATGGGTCAACGAGGAACGTAATCTGTGGCCTTTTCAGTTCTAGATCACAGAACCGGGTCACAAAGCTTTCGTGCAGGTTTTCAACCAGTGTTGCATATCTGGCTCTTTGCTTATTCAGGGCGGCACTGGTGGCTTTTAGCAGAGTGGGAAAATGCGTTAAATCTCCCTTTTGAATATGCGCCTTGAACAGCTTCAGTTTGTTGACAAACGCAAACACACTTTGCACCAGGTCAGGCAGAACTTTTACCCTGCAGGGTCAGGTTCAGTCTGTCCAAGTGACACAGCATGTCGACCAAAAAGGCCAGCACTGGGTTGCACGGAGTTTACGTGCTACTAACGGTTTAAGGGTTGCACCAGCTGAAATACGTCCAACGTAGACATAAGTTACAACTTAAATCTTACACCTAGTCCTTAATAGGTGTAAAGTCCTCCATAAAATAGTCAAGTGGTTGTCATGGCGCATCGTTTTGAAAGGTGGGGTGATCAGGAGGAGCAAATTATACCGGGCTCTTCTGCGTAACCGAGCGCACACAGCCTGGAAGTTATGAAGGTATGATTTGAAAATGTAGCGAAATTAAGAGTAGATTACTAGCCCAAAGAAAATATTGGATTAAAGAGTAAAAATATAAATAATAAAGGAACGTGAAAAGGCAATGACCTATTTTTATTTATTTATTTTTGCAAATTTGCGTTACTTGTAACAAGTTTCTCCCCACCCTGCTGCAGGCGCCCTCACTGCTGTCTTCAGGTAGGTTGTAATAACAGCAGCACAGAAGAAAAGTCTGTAATATTGAGGCACTTAGCTGCCTTCAGCAAACTCGTATTTTTTCTCTCTTAACTTTTCAGCATCTCCTTTGCGTTGTGTCGGATGTTTTCTATAGGCCTAAGTTACACAATTTTTGTTCGCGTTTCAGCTGTTTAATTATGTCTGATGCGGAGTGATTGATTGACTAGCCACTCATAGTAAACCTTCTCGCCTAGCCTACTCCGAAATCGCTGAAGAAAAGTGGGCGGGGGGACAAAACATAGATTTTGAAATATGAGAGGGATAATCGCTCCTACGCATATATAAGTTATAATGTTACAATTTCATCTGCCCGTTATGCTTTACTGTTCGTTACGGGCACCGTTAAATTACGTCTATGTTGTAGTTAACGGTTTTACCGCTCGATGTCACTGAGACTAGCTGTAGATTAAGGTTTCATAGTTATCACCTAATCATAATTATTTCCTTGTATAGATCCCTTTTTGTTGGTTTGTTGCTATTTTTAGCCATTAGCCTCTTCAGTATTGCAAACGTTGAAAGAGAGAGAGACAAACAGATGACAAAATCGTAATAAACTCTGTTAAGAATAGTGCTGTTCACTGATTGGCCATGGGATGCGTAAACGTCGTTTTCTGCGACACTGTTTTGATAAGTATGGCCAGAGTAGCTAAGATGCACCTTACATCTCGGTGGTGGAACCAAACATCGACACAACTTAAGTCTCAAACTAACTAGTTTCAACGTATTGTTTAGTGTGGACTTTGCACCCTAACTTAAGGTAGAACTTACGTATCGCTGGTGCAACAGGCTGCAGATCCAGCTCGGGATAGTCCTTGTCCAAAAGCTCCAAGAAGCGAGAGACTACCTGGCCTTTTGACAGCCACCTCACAGTGCAGTGCAGCGGCAAGTCACCTGGAAGCCCTTTGTCCAGCTCAGCAATGACATTCCTGAATTGCCTGTGGTTAAACACATGTGTGCGGATGTAGCTGATGATTTCCATCACAGGATTCATGGCGTTGTCTAAATTCAAT